ACACACACACACACACACACACACACACACACACCCACACACACACACACACACACACACACACACACACACACACACACACACACACACACACACACACACACACACACACACACACACACACACACACACACAGTCTCTCTCTCATTCATTTTTTTTCATCAATTTGAACGTTAACATGTTCAAACAAGTTTTGATATATCCGGATTTTGGTGGACCCTTTTCAATTGCAGCAGCGCAAGAAAACACCACTTAGGCCATCGGATTCTCGGCGGAGGCGGCCGCCGCTTGCTTGGGATGAGTGAGGCAGTCAAGCGCCACACTCGAGGTTTCGGCCAGACGAGGCTTGAGGGGCCGTTCGGCAAACTCGACCTCTTGCTCAGCGGCCAGCGACCGCGCGGCGGCTCGCCGACCCTTGGCCGTAATCATGGTGGTGCCTTGCGTCTCCAAACTTGGGTCGCGCTCACCTCGCGCAGTGCGCAGCAGGGCTGGCATATCACTTTCGCTCTTGACCGGAGACGCGCCCATGTCAATGAGCCAGGTCAGGCGCATGGCCGCCGGCGTCCACGCGTGATTAATCGAACGCTGCGCGCGCTGGCGACACTGGTTGTACAGATCTTGTGTTTGGTCAGCCAGCTGGTACAGGTCAAGAGACACAGCCGCCTCACAGGCCTCACGAACGGCATCCGCGGCATCCTCCAAGAGCCGCCCCAGGCGAGCCAGCTCATGCAGAAGAGCCTCCTCTTCAAACATGCCCCCTTCTTTCAGACTGAACTTCTTAGCCTCGTGTCGACGGCGGCCCTTGGACGACTTTGAAGTGGAGCGGCGCGAGCTGCGAGTGCGCGAGCTTCCGCGCGATGTCTTGCTTTTCACGCTGCACAAGCCAACGCGCACAGGCCAAATGAGTTGCGAACATGGTGGTCGGCCCAAGCTAGACGAGCCAAAGCAATGCGAGCGCGAAAGAGAAACGGAAAGAAATACAAAAACAAAGGGGGGGGGATGCCACCACCCGGTACAGGTCTGCTCCGCCGTACCTGCTGGCTTGGCTAAAGAGGTCCGAATCACGCCCCATGAAAAGCGTATCCTCATCGTCTTCGTCAAAAAGGCCCAGGGCATCCTCATGTGCGAGTTCGACCTTGCGCACGCGCACGGCATCCAGTCGGCTCGTGTGGCGCTGCAACTGCTCCAACATGGCCGAATATTGCTGCTGCAGGCCATTGTGATGCGTCACGAGGGCCGTTTGAACCGCGTGTTGACCCCCCGTCACCACGGCAGCCAAGCGTAGCGCATCCGCCCATGCACGAGCCTGACAGTAGGCCTCAAGCGCCTCCGAAGCCAGGTTCTGCGAGGCACTTTCGGTGCACACGGGCAGACAACAGAGTTCCACGAACGCCCCCAGCTCACGATGCGCTTGCAGCGTGTCCAGCGATTCTCGCATGCGCTCCCGCAGATCATCAGCCCGAGCCGGAGCAAGCTGTGGCAGAAGTGGGGCCAGCTGGCGCCAAGCTCCAGCATCGACCAAGACTTCTGCCGCGCGATCAAGGGCCTCAGCCTTGATGAACATTAGAGCGGCCTCGCGCATCTGGCTGGCGCCAACAAGCACCTCACCATAGGCCAGAGCAATGTCTCGCTGAATCTGGTGCAGTTCGGCTGCCGTCTCAGGCTTTGTGGCCCGTTCCTGTGCCAAGTGTCGCAGCGCATGCGCATGCAGATGCTGGCGCTCAACGAGTTCGCACGCTTGAGCAAAATGCGCTGGACCAGCCCGCAAGAGGTGCTCAAAGGCCCGAGGAAAGCGCTTGAGAAAGAGTTCAATCTCATACGCACGCAGCGGTTCAGAAAGTGTATCCAGACGCTGCAGAAAGGGCACGTACTCACGCGGATCCATTTGTGCCACCTAGTTTGAACCATCACATCAGCGTGAGCTGGGTGTGTGGGCGCTGATCATCGCGGGTGGCGATGCGTGCCCGAGCTCGTCAAATTTAGTCTCGTCTCCCCATTTGAGTGTTTCTCCTGCCCCCGTAGTTTGACACACCTGGGCAACAATAAGGGCCAATTTGAGGTCGTAGCTGGCAAGTGCGGCGCGATAAAGCTGCTGAACGTCCACGAGTAGCAGCAGGTACTTCAGTGCCGAGCGAGCGGCATCGGCTCCTGCGTTCCCCGTCACCGTGCTCGCCGGGAGTGCGCCCGCATCCTTGCGCAGGTTGAGGACATAACGCAAAGCCTCCTCTAGCAGCGGCGGCTGATGTTTGACACAGGTCGTCAGGATTGAATGTAGGTAGCGCTGCTCATCGAGTCGCGTGCACGCCTCACGGAGCAAAAGGCAGTACTTGTTGACCTTGCCTGCCCGGGTATAAGCGGCCTCGGCCGGCACCTACCACACAACATGCAAGCATGGTCAGCTCCAGAACCACACGCGTAGTTGCGCAGAAGACCCACTCTGCTTCAGTTTCCGACAAGCGGGGGCGTTTTGCGTTGTGACATACCTGGTGGGCGGTTTCAAGTGGGAGATACATGTGTTGCGTTGTGTCCTCGTCTTTGAGTTCCATGATGAGAAGGTTGACAAAGTCGGAGCTGTCCAGGGCGCGCACGACGTCGTCAATGCGCGACTCAAAGGCGGTTGGATCGTGATCAATCATCAGGTTGAGCGACACACGGTGGCGTCGTAGCAACAAAAATGCCGCGCGCCATTTTTGCAGCGATAAGAGCCGACGAATCTCAAACACCACGAGCGCCATCGGATAGATGGCTTCGAGATTGCCGCGAGGCATCTGCAAGACGGCTTTGATATCTCGGCCAGGCACAACAACCAACTCAGCGCCGCGTTCCACAGCGCGCAGACGCCCATCATACTCGTGCGCCTTTTGCGAGGGAAGCCGGGTCTCAGCGGTCACGTCTTGAGTCGTTGGCCAGCAATGCAAGCGGTGTTCTGTCGTCGTCAACAAGAGAAAGTCATCCCGCAAGGCAAAGCTGTTGCAATTGTTGCACAGTTCCACTTCATTGACGTAGAAACGGTTGCGGCGCGATCGACCGAGAGCGCGCCAGTTGCCTCCCAGTTTTACGACGGCCAAGTCGTAGACAGGTTCGGGAAACTGCACAAACTGGCTGTCCTCGGTGTGGGATGCAGCGGGGGTTGGCATAGGTGCCACGGTTTCAGCGTCAGCATTGACTTGGAAAACTTTGCCCTCGCGAGTTGCAAGAAAGAGCGTGCCATCCACAACCGTCACGGCCGTCACCGGTGCCGGCAGAGAAAGCTGGCGCTCTACTTGAATCGTGCTACTGATGCTCAAGACCCAAAGCCCTTGCTCAACAATCACTGCCACCCGCGTGGCCGAGAGCAAGCACAAGTGCGCGATCAATCGTCCCTACACATGCGGGTGAAAGAGTTAGACGACGGCAGCATTTTGGGGCCATTTTTTTTTCGGGCACGCTATAGTGACGCACATCAAGCACCAGGTTATCGGGCAGCATCTGGGCTGCTTGGAGCGTGGCCTCGCCCTTGGCTTCCAGCTGGCCCAGGGTCAATTGACCATCGGCAGTTACGGCGGCCAACATACACCCCGTCTAGGTGCCACGACCCAGTAAGTAAATGACGTCACATGAGACACACACGGTGTCGAAGGATTGCGCTGGCTGCACTGGCGGCACATGCCGTTGTTTGTCTCGCGCTGGTGCGCATGCCGCTCAAACTACGTGTGGACTTGTGGATGGGCAGATCCGTACCGTGGGAAACGATTGCACATCCACTGCCACGATGCTTGCAGGTAGCTGAAGTGATTGCTGAGCCATGGGGGGCGGTACAACGGCCTGGCGACAGGCAGTGAGGAGCAGCTTGGGTCCATCAATGACGGCCACCTGTGCACAGCAGGTTCGGTTGGGCGAGTCATAAGATCCACGAGGGATAGGCGTGTGTAGCACAGCAGGAGGGGATCGAAACCAGAACGACTTGCGCTTACATGACCCTGATCCATTCCAGACGAAATGGCAGGACGCGACACTGCACGATGTAGCTCGAGACCTTCCAGCCGACCATCTGTGGTCGCCATGTACAACCTGTTCCACCCCACCCCACGGAGACACAGCCACGCGCACAAGTTTGTTAAGCGCGTGCGTGCATGGATTGTGAGTCTGTGGGATATATTCGACTGGTTAGCGCAAGTTAGCACGTACCGATTTGCATCTTCTGAGTGCCAGCGTAGGCTGGCCAAGCTGGCCGCAGCGGCAAAGCGGCGCTCAAACTTGAGGTACCAGTGATAGTTTCCTACTGTGTACAGCTGCAAGATGCTCTCAGCAGTGGGCTCTTGATTCTCGCCTAGGCGCTGGAGCCAGACAGCCTATGGGTACGGATGAGAGCCGCAGTCAGGTTGCCTCGTCTTCGACCCAAGAAAAAAGATGGGGAAGGACCGCCCGCGACTCTGGCAAGGTGCGCACCAAGATGGTCGAGTTGGCATTCCAGGCCAAGTGTCGAACGTGCACCTCGGACTGTGCAAACGGCAGCGCAAACTCGCCATGGCTGAGGCAAAGCCAGTCAAAAGTGATGAGTGGCGGAGAAAGAATAAACGGAAGAAAAGTCATCTTTTTAAAAAAAAAGTCACATCAGCAGTAACAACAAGGACCCGCGACTGAGAAGCGGGGCTTATTTCTTGGAATGCCACGCGAAGCTGGGGGCGTACCGTAGACCGTTACGTTCGAAGAAAACAATGTGGTGGGCACTGGGTAGTCGCTGACTGGTAGCAATTAGCCTGCCAGAGGGCTGCCAGGCCAAGCAAGACTCCAAGCCAGGCACCTGCAGCAGCAAAATGCGCGGATGAGGCGACGGTGGCAGGTGTGCTTTTGAAAGAATGAAGGCGAGGGACTGTTGGTTGTGGGAGCGCCAAGCAGGGTACGGACGCGTTCGGCTGTGGCAGAAAGGGTGCCATCACGGCGCCAGATGCGAAGCTTGCGGAGGTGGCCTTCAGATCGAGCATCCTCATCCAGGGTGGAGGTGGCAAGGAACTCGCCATCCCCACGCCAGGAAATGCGTGCCCGTCCATCATCAAAAGGCACGGCAGCTTCCACCTGGCGCGGGCGGCTTGAAAGTTTGCCCGCCTTGCCTTGGAATTGAGTTTCAGCCTTGCCCCATCCTGTTGAAAGGTGGCGGACGAGGTACCTGGATGAGGGCCGCCAATCGTTTGGGTCATGGAAGACTTGCCAGTTTTTGGGTACCCACCTAGAGTGACAGGCTGATCCAGACCATAGTCCGTGGGCCGGGCCGGGGTCTCAATTAGAACGTCCATGTCCTTGGTCAGCATGAGGAGCTGCTGATTGCACGTGACGGTGACGAGAAACTACAGCAAGGGCAAGTGCCAAAGAGGGCAGCATTCAGGTCAGCCGAGCATAGCTGGGGCCAACGGCAGGCGGGGGTAGGCCCACCGAGAGACTGGAATCGAGAAGGAAAGTCTGTAAGATGAGAACAAGGGCCTTCATACCTCTTCATCGGGGCTCCAGGCAGCAGCCTCAATGCCGCCAGGCACCTCGCCGACAAGCTCGACCTAGAGCACCAAGATGGTTTGACACGGTGCCAATGAGAGGGGAGGTGGGATGAAGAAACTGCAGGGGAAGTGGGATAATGTTCCCAGGCTCACCTCATGGGATAGGGGCTCGATGTTGTACATCTGGCCCAGAGCCGTCACGGCATTGACACACTCGAGCAGGGCCAAGTGCTGCAGGGCCACGACAGGACCGCAAAGGCTGGCCTCGGGCACAAGCTCGTGCTGATCCACGACCTGTGGATGCGGATGAAACGAGGCGCAACGTCTCGAGATGAGCAATGTGTCCCGCGGACATTCAAGCGCCGTTGTTCTTGAGGGCACGCACCTCGGTCAGCTCGTCATTGTGGTAGTGTACCGCGCCGCTGCTGGCGCTGTAGAGGCCTTCAGTGTCGACGTTGATGGCCAGCTGCTCCACGTTGGGGGCCGTGCCCGCAGCAGAGCGCCATTGGCGCGTCACAGCCAAGTTCTTCATTTCAACCTGAAACCCCACAACACCCGCTTCGCCGTCCTCACAACCCAACACCACTCGGCTCTCGCCGCCGCCGTCTGAACGGTCGTGCACGCGGAACAAGGAGAAAGAGAGAGAGAGAGAGAGAGAGAGAGAGAGAGAGAGAGAGAGAGAGAGAGAGAGAGAGAGAGAGAGAGAGAGAGAGAAGAGCTTTCGCCCACGCTTAGGACCACAATCTAACAATGACCCCTGTAAGATGAACGTTCAGTACTCTAAAGACATCTCTCGGATATAAAAACAACATCTGCGCTTCTTCGGTTGGGTCGGGCAAACGGCAGCGCCGACCCGAGTCCCGTCCGAGCCGTGATCAGCCCGGGTTTGATGGAGTCGACAGGTACACGATGGGTGCGAATGCTGCTGCACCAATGGCTTCAGCACCTGGCGGGTTGGCGTCGTTTCATGCCTGTCTTCGCTGCCCCAAGGACTGACACTTCTTCAGCCAAACACCAGTAGTCCTCTCCTCTCTTGCTGTTGACGCTCGTCACACCTCTCACTCTGCCGGCTATATCGCCTTTGCCTCTCTCTCTTGTCAGGTATACAGTTTATCACACATCTCTGTCTCACTCTCATACATCACACGCATCTCTCCTTTCACCTCTTCTTCAACGTCAATTCCCACTCGACATCAGCATCCACCTCTGAACATCCACCAATCCCTCTCCCCCTCTCTAACCGCGCTTCTCCCTCCCTTCCCCTCTCTACTTCTTCCTCCCTTCCGATCCATCCCTCTCAAGTTCTCTTCCCTCTCAGTCACCGTCTCTGGTGTTTTTCTTTTGCTGCAGTACCTTGACAGGACGAGATGGCTTAAAAAAAAAAAAAAAATAGGATATGGCAGCGCGCACCGAACGACGACTTGGTCAACGATTTCCAGCGCCGTTGGCAGCTACACTGGTGATTCAAGCCAAGCAGACCGCTGTAGCAGACCACCCCGCCCACACGGCCCTACGGTGCAGAAGAGCAAGTCAACAACAACAACAACAACAACAACACCGATCAACGTGATCGACGAAGCCCCCTGCTGTGTGTGTGTGCGTGTGTCTGCGCGCGCGTTCTCTCTGTCTCGCGCGCGCGCTCTCGCTGTCCGGCTTTCCGGCAGCTTTGGCTGTGTGATTGGTGCTTTGGGCTCTTGAGTGCGCTCGACATCAGCCACTTTGGAGCTCCCCTGCCTGCTGCCACCGGATGCGTGTTGGCTGCCGCTGTTGGAATCAGGACTTTGCTGCTGCTGCGCTGCAACTTGGGCACCCTTCGGCATGTCAGCCTTGGATCGTGGCGAGAGCGGCGCCGAACAGCTGGGTACCCCAGTACCGCCTCTACCCCAAAACTCCGAGGAGGGCCGCTCACTGCGCTCCTCGGCCGAGCCCGACGTCTTCACCTTTGACAGCTTACGAGGTGCCACCGTTCTAAACCGCCTCCAGAATGGGTCACCCCATCGCAGCAACGGCCAGGGCAGCAACCCCGAGACCCCCACCAACATCGACTCATATCCGTCCAGCTCCCAAGACGATGCCGCCTCTTCGCGCACTGCCCGCTCCCACAATGACTCGGTCTTGTCCCCTCACAGCTCAACCCAATATCCAGCCTCCTCTGCTCCTCGCGCGATTAGCTCGCAGAACCCCACCCCAGTTTCCAGCTCCACATCCTCCCGCGACGACCTCAATGCATCCACCGACAGCAACTCAGCCCTCCTCAACGTTGCTCTCCCTGACCGCAAAGCCGTCAAAAAGAAAAAGAAAAAGGTCGTCATCAAGCAAAAGCCCATCTCTTTTGATGGTGAGACCTCAGCTTCCCCTCTGTACTTGACGGCTCAGCCCTACCTCACCCATTGCCTAGTCCCGAAACCCCCCACCCCCTTTTTTTTTTGCTTGATGCGTACCTCCTATCCCCTCATCCCCCTCCCACCGCTGTGCTGCTGGATTGCTATGGCAGAACGGTATCGCATGGGCCCCCAACTCGGTAAAGGCGCTTTCAGCGTCGTGAACGAGTGTTTCGAGTATGAAACGCACAAGCGTCGTGCAGTCAAGATTGTTTTTAAAGCCACCGATCAATTCGATCGCAAGCAAGTCTTGCGGGAAATAGACATTGCCGTCAGAGTATGTCCAGCCCTTGAGCGCTCTCCTTTGCCAGCTCCGCTTCGTTTGCTGACCTGCAACACCCGCTGCTCTTTTGACTCGCGCACGTGTCAGGTGGGAGCGTGTCCCAATGTTGTGCAGTACTTTACTTATATTGAGGAACCTGATCGATTTTGTATCGTCTACGAACACATGGCTGGTGGTAATCTAATGGAATGCATTCGTGTGCGTCCTCTTCCCCACCTCGCTCGCACCGCTCTTGGGGTCCAGGAGATCGCACTCGCACGACCTCATTCTGCCACTCATCCCAGACCTGTTTGCCTCTCCCTTCAACTCATTTTCATCGCCTCTTTTTTTTTTTTTTTTTTTTTTTTTTTTAAAAATCGACAGGGCCTCTCCGCTTTTACGGAGCGCCTGGCGAGCATGGTTATACGCGACGTTGCTAGCGGCATCAGCTACCTCCATCGCAATGGCATTGTGCATCGCGACATTAAACCCCAAAACATTCTCTGTCAACATGAAGGCAAGGTTACCCCTGCTAAAATTTGTGATTTCAATCTCGCCGCCGTCATCGACTCTTCCAATGGAAGCAAGCCGCTGATGACTCCGGTCGGAACTCCAGGTACCTTTTTGTTCCCCCCTCCTTTTCTTTTGTTGTTGTTGTTGTTTGCTTTGAAACCTTCGACCCCATGTCAAGTCCTCACCCCCCTTTTGCACCACGTGTGTGCGTGCGTATTGCCCGATTGCAGAGTACATGTCACCCGAGGTGGCCGACGCCATTTTTGGCGGAGCCGCTAGCTACGATTTTCTTTGCGACTGTTGGTCGCTGGGTGTGGTGACTTATCTCATTCTTTCGGGCCAGGCCCCTTTTCGAGGTCCCGCCAACTCAAACACGGCAGCTCAACTTAGAGGTCAAATGGCAGCGCTACACACGGTCTGTTACCTCGTCTGCATCGACGCCCCTATCTTCATGCAGCTATTGGCTGTGGTCGCGGCATCCAGGTTGAGCGCACCCCCTTTCTCACTCAGGCTTTGCTTATGCATGGGGACGGCGCGGGCACTGCACTGACCATCCATGAGATAGGAGGAACTCTTGGACGCCATCTCTGGAGGAGAATTCAGCTTTCCTGCTTCGCATTGGCATCACATCTCCAGCGGGGCCAAGGACTTTATCACACGTCTCCTTGTTCGCGCCGAAGACGTACGCCAAGTCCCCAACCCCTCCTCGGTTTCTTTTCTTTCCTTGCGTCTGCTGGTACCAAGCGGTCCTCGCTCACCTGTTTTGGTTGCTGATTTGTTTGTTGCAGCGGTTGACTGCGCGGCAAGTTTTGATGCATCCATGGATTCGTCATGACCCCCCAGCCATTGCTCTCAAGACGCCAGAGATTCTGCGCGACCGGCAGCGCCGCAATACCCTTGATCAATTTGCAGATGCAGCCAATGCAACACACCGGCGCATGAACGTGAGCAGCGAGAGCCTGAAACTTTGCCACCCAACCAAGAGCACCATCAGCCAGCGACGTCGGTCCTCGCGTCACGTTGTTGCTCGAGCTTTCAATGAGATTCGTGAGAACGATCTTGACGAACTTGTGACGCCCAGCTTCCGGGACTGAGCACATCGTTTTTGCTGTCCGTGCACAAGACCAGATCTTTGAAAGTTTTTTTTCCTTTTTCCTTGTTTCGAGCTGGTTCTCGTTCTCGTAACCTTGGCCGCTTCTCTTCATTCCATGCCTGCCGTCTCTTATCATCATCTTCCCTTTTCTCCCTGCATGCCCAGTCTGGCGTGTAGTCCCCGAGTATCCTGTTTGAGTTATCGACCATCGACCATCAGATTCTTCTTCATGCTCTTGCGCCTCTTTCTCGTACTCGCCAACCAAAGTCTTCACAAGTCGAATTGACGATTCTCCTGCCCCTCTTGATTCACATGTAAGTTGATGTTGAAATGGCCTCTGCCATAATCGCATGCCCAATGCGACTAGACAGCCCTGCTTAAATCTGGTTGTTCAATTATCAGGGTTGAGGAGAAAGCTAAAAACAAAAAAACAAAAAAACAAAAACGAAAACACAACAAGACGTTCTTGGCATGAAATCAATCAACATTTTTTCTCTGGTCGGAAACAGCTGTGGCAGCCTGAAGCACAAGCCCATTGCGCTGGCAAACCCACTTCCATACACTCGACGTACGGATTCCACATGAACACAGCACACAAGCACCCTCTTGTGACAGAGGAATTAAAAGACAGGGTTATGGCTTGCGCCATTTGCGGGAAGTAAAAACCTTTTCGAGCTCAGCAAAAGGAATCTCCACCAACAACGCGACCAAGCCCGCCGCAGCATAGCTCATGACGGTGTTGCCAATGAAAAAGTTGATGGCCACGCCGTCCTGATAGTAAATCGGTTGTCGGAGGTTGTTGAAGAAGGTGTTCAACACGACTGGGTGAATCAGATATGCGTTAAAGGTGAGGCGGGAGACAGGCAGCCAAAATGGGGCAGCCAACAGGTCTGAGACCCAGCCTGCCGCATTCATGGCCGAGGTATAAGTGATCCAGCAAAGCACCAATGCCCAGAGAGGACGGCACAGGGAGATCCAGACGGCATCCTCAAACTGGGAAAAGTTGTAGTCGAACAGTCGCGCTTGAAAGCCGGTGGCACAATAGATGATGATGAAGAGCAGAGCCGCACTCACCGCCCAGCCGGCCGCATGAAGGGCAGGCTTGAGCCGCAGCTGGGGGCTGTACGAGTTGTGGCGGACAGTCAGGTGATAGGCAAGCATGATGCCCATGAGGTAGGGCGCCATGCGCGTCCAGGGCTTATTCTGGATGAGCGAAAAGATGTTGCCCTGATCGGTCCGGCTGGTAAAATGTTCCCCCGGTACGCCCGGCAAGGCGTTGGCAGAGAGGTGGTAGTGATAGGCCAGTGCAAAGGGAATCACGATGCTGGCCAGCAAGGCCACAGACCAGACGATCATACCCCACACCTTGTGACGGTGGAGGATCAAAAGCAAGAGGGGGCTGGCCCAATACATTTGCATGTCGAGCGCCAGGTACCAGGTCCATCCCATGCACTCATTGTTGGGATCTGAGCTCGGGTAGTAATTCTACGAAGCGAGGCCGCAGGAAGCATGCAGAGCAAAAAAGTCGGTCAGGGCTGGCGAGGCGCGCTTCGATCCTGCCGTCGGGGTCTTGTACCTGAATGTAGAGAAAATTGGCCCACCAGTACTTGGCGCAGCCACAGGACGAGCGAGTGAGGCCTTCGCAAGCATCCATGGACATGCTCTCTTGCTGGCGGTAAAAGACGGGCCCGTCGCCAAGGAAAGGGGAGAGATTCACAAACAGAAGCATGACCAATGCATAGGACGGGGTCAAGCGAATGTAACGGTGCAGGTAGTATCGCAACCAGGGGAGGGTTTTGCGCTTCTTGAGCACCGTCAGGCAGCTGTAACAGACCAGAAAGCCCGAGATGAAGAAGAAGGTATCGACCGCGTATGAGGTGGCAGCGATAGCCTGAAAGGAAAGCCGATCGCCTAGGGCAATCACGGCGACCATGTTTTGCGGCCATTGTTTGAAGATCCAGAGCCAGCTGTGGCCCAGGATAACCCACAACATGCTTAAGCTGCGCATACCATCAAAAATGGCGATGGAGTGGCGGTTGCGTTGCATGCTTAGCAAGCGCGGGAGGTTTGTGCGGAGCGAAAAGGCCAGCAGGCAGCGCTGCCAGGCGGGCGGTTGAGGCTCTGTGATGCCCTGAAAGGGGGTACTGGCGGCAGTGAGGCCGTCGAAGGAGATGCGTTTGAGGAGTGGCGCGTGTTCGGAAGAGCCATCGATGTGACTTTGATCCTCTGCCTCTTCGCTTGGGGTGGGCGGGGCGGCGAGATCCAATTCGTAGCGCGGAGTGCTGGGGCTAAGCCGCAAGTCACGACCAGCACCCGGCCCAGCTGCCAAACTTTTCTGACGAAAGCCCGGCAGAGAGCGGGTGAGCGCCAAGTTGGACGCAAGGCGATTTGGCCCAACGTCAACTGCTGTCGGCGTTGCCACCGTGGCGGTGACTGGAGCCTCTTCCATGCTACTGTGGTTGCTGCCAGTATGGCCATTGCTCAGAGGGGCAGCACGACGGGTCTGAAGGCCAGGGCCTGTGCTGTTCACCGGGCCATTGGTGGAAGCGTAATGGTCACGGGTGGCAGCGTTGGCGGCGTTGGCGGCATTGGCGGGGTGATCCACCAAGACGTCGCGCGAGAGGGGTTCACTGGAGGAGGGCTGAGAGCTGGGCGGGGATACAATTCGCTGGTATGGGGAGGGGTCACCTACTTGGTTGGGGTCATCCGAGACGGAAGCGCGTGCCCAAGAGTAGCGATTCGAGGCCGTGCCATCTGCGCGGGGCGAAGCATAGCCATTCTCTTCGAGCAAGAGCTTGGGGGCCCAGAGTCGGCTTCGGAGGGTAAGCCAGAGGTGCAGGCCGGTGCCGGCAGCAACGAGCGCGACGAGCAGGCCGAGGACGATGAAAACGGAAGCATTGCCCGGAGTCACATGTTGGCTGCGGGCACAGTGGACTGTGGTGGAGGAGAAGAGGCCAGGTAGGTAGGTGGCGGTGGCGTTGTCGACCAGGGACTTGACTGAGGGCTCGTTGCAGGAGCGTGGGAGACAGATGCCCCACGAGGCCACCTGGGTGGTTTCAGCGGCCAGGACATGGGTTTCATTGGGGGTCACCTGCTCAAAGCCTTCCACCATGCAAAATTGGAGTGGGATGCTCGGCGGGTGCAAGGATATGCATTCGGCATAGTCACCGAACATTTGGATGGAAGGTGGGCTGGTGAGGACACCGGCCGGAAGCTTGCCCCAGGCATCGACCATGCGCAGGCCGTTGAGGGTCAGGTTGCGGTGGGAAAAGTTTTGATCCCCGGGGGGTAGGATGCGCGGGAATAGCTCATTGAGATCATAGATGCATTTGTCAATGATTGGGCCCGGGCTTTGTGTCGGGCCCCGGGCAGCAGCAGCTGGAGCAGCAGAGCCGGCTGAGGAGGCAGGCAAGGGCGCCGCTGGTTGGAGCGTGCTCCGGGCTGTATCGTAAGCGTCCAGAAAATTGGCAATGGCCTGCAGCTGAGGTGCCATGAGCTGGCGCGCAAGATCGAGATCGACCTTGGCGTGACATACAAGTGGCCTTGTCAGGGAGAGGAGGAGCAGAAGCAGGTAGAGCGAGGGCATGGCCCTGGTGCGGGCTTGCTGCGCCGTGGCGCGCATGGCTGTGCCGCACCCAGACGCCTTTGGTGTTTCTTGTCTTCCAAGCAAATGACGTGCCCTGCCCAATACCCTATCCCCATCAGAGACGACGACGACGACGAAGAAGAAGAAGAAGAAGGCGCGCTGTTTAATTCCTGAGGATCGATGCAGCACACGAGGCGAATGAGCAAAAGGTGGATCAACGGAAGATCGTCCCTCGTGTCAACGAAAAAGAGAGAGAGAAAGAGAGGGAGAGAGAAGGGAGAGGAGAAGAGTACAAGGAGTCGAAAAAACAAGACGAAGAAGAAGAAGAGGAGGAGGAGGACGAGGAGTCGGAAGCAGCAAGACTGACGGCAGCCACCACGTCGCTCTGGCGGATGGCGCAGCGCGCGCGCCCGCGTGTGTGTGTGTGTGTGTGTGTGTGTGTGTGTGTGTGGGGTTGCTGAGAAGACACCCTGAAGTAAAATTGAATACGCTTCTCTAAAATGTATCACATAACCCTGTAGTGTCATCCACGCGGACAAGTGTGTTGGACAAAGAGGTGAGAGAGTGTACAGACAAGTGACAGACGAACTCGAGTACACACACGCACAGGGCGCCAAGGGCTCAGGGTGTGCGTTTGGATCGGGGGAGAAGGAGGCCAGCAGGTGGTAGGCACACGGAGTTGACTACACCCCGTACTAGCACGTCCGGCACTCACCCCACCATCACCATCACCAGTCCATCCAAAGAGGGCCAACAAGCGGATATGGTCACTTCTTTCGAGCCCACTCGAAAAGGTATGCTCACTGCACTCGAGTTTCTTGTTGCCACTCGCTCGAAAGAGAGAGAGAGAGAGAGCTTGAGAGAGCTTGAGAGAGAGAGAGAGAGAGAGAGAGAGAGAGAGAGAGAGAGAGAGAGCTTGAGAGAGAGAGCTTGAGAGAGAGAGAGAGAGAGAGAGAGAGAGAGAGAGAGAGAGAGACTGCTATTTTTTTTTTTTTTTTTTTTTGGCAGTTCGATCAATGGGGTGGCTGCTTGCACAGCCAGTGAATGCTTGCCGGTGGGGGTGACGTGACATTGGAGCAAGATACGGCTGAAGGCGCCCTGCAAAGTAAGTCTCGTTGGGGGTGGAAGCGACGGCTGGTCCGGCCTTTGCTTTTGGCTCAGCCCGCACTGGATGTCACGCAGTTTTGCTTTGTTGTGATGGGCTCTTTTCATTCCCGCCGACGACCCCCCTAGTCGTCCCCGCACCCTCGCTCCGTCTGACACCTTGACATCCTGTACACAGGCATAGTTTTGTTGCTGGTTGCTTTCTTGCTGGGATTGGTGGCTGGCCGTGGGTCCTTGGCTGGCGACCGCGCCACACACAAGAGAGACGTTGATGCAGTGAGAGTCAACACTATCAGCATCACCGGTTCCACCAACAACAAACACGAGCAACAGCGGCATGAACGTCGACGTCGACGAGCTGGCGGCGCCAGAGGTGGACGCCAGCTGGCGTGAGCACGCCGATCGTGAAAGAGCGCCCCGACTGCAGGCACTGGATCGTGCCGTACTCGAGTTTTTGATCGTTGAGGGCTACAGGGATGCTGCTGAAGCACTAGCCCATGAGGCAGACCTGGATGCCACCGGTGACCTCAGCGCTGTGGACACTCGACAACAGGTGCCCCGTGCCTGGCTGCTCGTGTCTTGACTCCTTTCCCAAGTCACCTTGGTTGCTGTGCCTTTGCATCTCGACGCCATCATCCTCTGGCCCGCTGGTCTCATCCTGCGCGTGGCCGTAGATTCGTGAATCCATCGACGCTGGGGATGTGGAGGGGGCGTTTCGCCGCGTCAATGACATTAGCACAGACATTTTTGATACCGACAACCAGCTGTACCTCAAGCTGCGAGTTCAACAGTTTATCGAACTGATACGCAAAGGGGCCTTGTCTGAAGCCATCAACTTTGCTCAAGTTGGCACCTCGCCTAGCCTCGTCATGTGCTGCTTGCTCCACAGCCACTCAACCTGCAGACTCATCTCGCTGCCAATTTCTTGTGTCAGACCGAATTCAACGTCGACCAGTTGACGGCCAGCGATGCGGATGAAGAGTCTTCAGCCACAGCAGCCCTTCGCTCTGAGATTCAGCAGGCCATGGGCCTTTTGGCATTTGGGCAGCCACAATCGTGCGTCACTATTATTTATTTACTTATTTTTTTTTTTTGAGGGGGGTGGTGGTGGGGGTGGGGGTTGACTTGATCTTTTTTGTTCATCGTCACTCCAGTCCCTTTGCCTCTTTGGACATGCAGCCAGCTCACCTCGCTGCACGGTGCACGGCTCATCACTGATATTGCTGCCAGATCCCCACTGCAGGGCTTGTTGTCCGTTGAGCGCCGCCAGCATTTGGCTTCGCTGATCAATACGGCCGTGTTGCAAGCTCAGGTAGGACACCTCGGCTTGGCTCTCGTCCACTTGTGTCGCCTCATCTAATGGGGGCGATTGTTGATTTTGCAACTGTCATCGCAGGGAGTCGAGGCACGCACAACCTTGACAAACATGGTTCGGCTGCTGGAATGGTGCCAAGAGCAAATGACGGAAGCTGGTATCGCGTATCCAGCGCTGAACCCAGCCGAGGCCGTCGAAAAGGCGGTCACCAAGCTCAACGCCAGCCAACCCATGGAGGGCACCGTGGTTTAGATACACTGGCAAAAGCCTGCCTCCTACCAGGAATGCTTGGGCTTCCTACTAGCCATGCCACCCCTCACTCCCTCTGCTCTTGTCAAATGTCTCGTGTCGAAAAATTACATATGCAATGTGTGCCGAGTTCAGCTTTGAGGGTGAACCTGTTTCAGAGCATCGGGAAACTTTTCCATTTTTTCCATTCCATTCTTTCGTTCTTTTTCTTCCGTTGTCGGTACAAAAGAGACGCAAATGAGTTGAGACAGAAATCCAGGGCACACGGACATTGCCTGCAGAGATCCTCGGGACACTGCGGCTTGGCACAGAACGAGGGTCACATCTTAATACAGCTTTTGCGCTTTCTTTTGGAGCGCATCCAGCACCGACCCAGCGTGCTCAATCGTCTGCAATGCCAAGTCATAGCTGCAAGTAGCACGGAACAGGTGGGAACCAACAAGACGAAGCAACAGTTAAAAAAAAAAAATTACCACGATTGTCATGCGCAAGTCATGGGCCAGAGGAAAAAAAAAAAGAAAAAAAAAAAAAGATTCCGGGTCGAGCCTTACGTCTCATCCTTGGTTTCAGGTTCAAAAATTTCCAGACAGCCTGTGCCTTGGTCGAGGATGCCGTGGAGCTGGCCGTCCAGGATCATCTGTGAGAGCTTCTTCTCCACGTCAGCCACGGAGAGGTTGATGGTCTCGGCGACGTGGGTAATCTCTACTCGCGAGAAGGGCTCGACGATGCGCGCCAAGTTGGACTGCAACAGGGAATCCCACAAATCATGAACATGTCCTTGAACCACCATGTCATCTTGCAGTTCCTGAAGCAATGCAAGAGGGGAAGGGTTAGAGGTGGTGTTGATGAGAAGTGAGCCTCGGCGCCCGTTTATTGAAGGCCGTCTTCAAACACAAGGAGGTGGGCCTGGCCTTGTTCTGCAGGCGCGGTCGATTTGTTCAACGTACCGAAGGATAATCCTTGAGCGCCCGCTCAAAGTTGGCAACGGAACGCTTCAGGTCGGCGGCCGCGACGGCCTGCATGGCCTCAATATCACGGCCCGAGTACTTGAGAGCCAGTTTGCCGGTGACAATGGCCGGGACATCTGCGGCATCCTTGAGCAGGACCTTGCTCAGCAGCATGTACTTGAGGCCACGAAGGGCGTTGGCCGGCATGTCCACTGAGTCGTAGCCTTCAAAGGCTTCGTAAAAGTATGAGTATGCAGTCTTGTAATCACCCTCCTGAGCATGCAGGATGCCAGACTGCAGATCGAGCGCGGCTTGCATCTTGGGCGGACAGTAGATGGTGTTGGCGGTGGTGCGCGCTGAAACGAGCGAGGCGCGTGCCTTGGGGTAGTTGGACAGAGCGAAGAGGGCTTGGGATTCCATCAGCATGACCTCAACGAGCAGCTGGCGATCGTCCAGGCGCTTGAGCTCCCGGACCAATGGCTGAAGCTCTGCCAAACACTCTTGGTATTGCTGCGTCCCAGCAGAGAGCCATCAGAGTGGCGATTGACGGGGTGAGCGCAAAGATAAACAACGCAAGTCGTGGTCAAGCCTAGCCTGGTGTTGTGAGAGCAAAAGGTAGGGCACGCACCTTGGCATCGAGGTGGAGGGCAATGAGTCGGACTTCAAGAGCCTGGCGCAGAAACGTGCGCTTGTTCTCCTGGGCCCAGGCAATGCAATCCTTGCACATGTTGACTTTCTATGTGGCGCGCCAATCGACGAAGAGGCAAGCGGACGGCTTAGGTCCAAGGTAGGGAAAGGGGCGGAGCACATCAAAGTTGCGGGCAGAGCAGAAGGATGCGCTAAACAGCGCGCTCAGACCTCATCGGGCGTAGCGGATTTTAGCTCGACAAAGCGGTCGATAAGATTCTTGAAGACCTTGCCGCCCTTGGCCTTGCTGATGACTTCGAGGAAGGGACGAACGTCATCGATAAGCTGACGCATTTCGGCAGCCTTGTCATATTTGGAATAGAGCTGGCTCAGCTCGGTAATGTCCTTGTCGCGCTTCTTGATAGCGCCAGAGACGGAGCGGTCAAGAGGCTGTGCAACTGTCAAGGTGTCAACGAGCATGGGAAGAAATTGTGTTAGGTGTGGGGTGGCGCCAATGTCGACATCAGGGTCGGATCAAGAGTTGCAGAGCAAGCACATCTATCTGGTCCCAACTGACTTGCATCACGGAGGGCTTGCATGGCGCCTTCTGGGTCAACCAGCGTCTGAGCTTCATGGTGAGCCTGGTGTTCAAGCTCGTCCTCGGCATCCACGTCCATTCGAGCCTCCATGGTGGCCATGATGCTGGTGGCTGTCCGTCAAAACGCAGGCAGGACGGGCACATATCCACGACCAGTGAGAGGCGACGAGGCGGGGACGTCAAGCCTCGCAACAGTCGATGAGTCGATGGTTGCCAGTGTCCGTGACAGGGGGCTCCTGACCTACTATTTGTTTTGCTGATGTGTTTAAACAGCCGGCGGCGTCCGGGGGGCTTACAGGCGCGTGCTGCAAGCTGACACGGCACCGTCAAACCTCAACAGCAGCTACTGGAGCCGGTTCAAAGAATGCAACAGCCACTAGCACCTGCGACTGAGGCGAACTCGGGCCCGAGCGTGTCTCAGGCGGTCTGGTCCGGTTCAGTGTGTGTTAAATGGGCCTTCACCACGTCACATCAAGTCACCAACGCCACTGAGTTGAGTTTCTCTCTTTCTCTCTCTCTCTCTCTTGAAATTTTTTTTCTGCTTTTGTTGAACAAAAGACAGATCAAGTACATTTAGTAGCAATGAGGGTGGGGCAAAAACAAACGAGTTTGAGTCGATCGTTCTATCTTCGGATGCTTGCACTATATTTAGATAGCCCTTCACGTTGCACAGGCCCACAAGCTTCAGCTCCCACGTTGTCGTTTGCATGAATGTGTTTTAGCCGTTGAGAGAGAGGAGGTAGAGAGAGTGTGCTACCTCTTGTCAGTGTTCAACTCGTGGTCTCCCTCTCTCTCTCTCTCTCTTCACTCTGCCTCGTGTGTGTGGTATCAGGGCTGCCCTCACACTTCCCTCTGGCGCTCACTGATCGTGAACCGACATCATGGAGCAGGAAACCTTTGAAGAGCAAGGTGAGCTCCTTCTCTGGCCGTGGCCTGCACCGATTGCAGCGCCAAGACTTTGAGTGGCCGTCGTTTGTGGCAAGACTGGATGCCCTTTTTTTTGTGGTTGTCTGCCCTTTTTTTTATGTTCTTTATCGGCTTTGTTCCGTGTGTGCGCCGTCGCGCTCCCAAGCACTGTTTCTAAAACCATCAGCTGGTCTTCTCTCTGGCGAGATGGCTTTCGCTGCAGTGCAAGATTAACAATGTCGTATTTTTTTGGCTGTCGTGGTCGTGGGCCTTACGGCTCCCGTCCTGTGGCATGTCAAAGGGAAACCGGCATGAAACTTCCTTCTTTCCGTTGCCTTGACTGCTTTTTTTTGGCATTTGAGAATTTTTGTTTTCTCTGCGGCCTCTGGTGCTGTGCTGTCAGTCGACTGATCATCATAGCTTCAAAGCCCTTCAGTCTTGATGCATACCTGACGCGACAATGGTGTGACTTTTGTCTCGCAGAAATCACCGTTGCGGACATTAACGCCAATGTCCCGCAAGAGGTGCAAAACTACCTCCGCTCGTTCAACAAGGCCATTCAAGAGAAGAGCCTCAAGGAAATCGAAGAGCATTACGAATACAAATGGCGTCGCACCACCGACCAGTACGTTGGCACCAAGGTCCAGTTTGATCACGTGTTTCCAAAGAACCCAGCTGAGAGAACTGCCATGACCGATTTCTGATTTTTTTCCCTGGGTTCCCATGATTCATTAGATACTTCAAGGACAGCCGATGGCCCGAGCCCGTGTACATCCAGGCCATGTTCGAGCAGGAAGGCCAGGAGGACTCGTACTTCGTTTCGTTGTATCCCGAGCTCTACTACCGTGATGTCTACTACCGTTCCAGCAACACCAACATTGAAATCACCGTGGAGGATCGCCATGCCTCGTACGACCACTACATTGAGCTCATCAACATGTTTGTCGGTGAGTTTACTCGTCATCTCTAGTCTTGCTGACACTGGCTATCGTCACAGGCCATTCCTAACCGGCATTTTCAATGGGTTCTCTTTTGCACAGAGCCGGATGCGCCTCTCGACCTCGAGCTGCCTAACAAGTGGCTTTGGGACATGATTGATGAGTTCTTGTACCAGGTTGGTTCTTCTTCTTCATTCTTTTTCTCCCAGCTGACATCTTGCCATGGTTGTTGATAAAACAAAACAAACACACTCGTGGGAAGTTGCCAAAGATGAGCATCATACTGCGTTATCGTCCTGATTTTATGTGATGATACTTGACCTCTGACAACCTGAGGCTCCTTCCCCACCCCCACTCCAAGCACCCTCGCACATCTTTGGCCATGTTTCAAGGCTTACTCACGCTCCCATCATGTGCGTGTCATTCACATCTCATAGTTCCAAGACTTTGTCATTTTCCGATCCCGCGTTGATGACGCCAAGACCGAGAGCGACTATCAGGAGATCGCCGAGCGACCCAACGCCTGGAACGTCACCATTGTTCTCAACGCCCTGCACTCCCTCATTCTCAAGAGCGAAATCAACGAACAACTCGAGGCCTACCGCAGCGGCCAAAACCCCACTGAGATGGCTGGTGCCTTTGGCAAGAGCAGCCTCTACAAAATGCTCGGCTGCTTCTCCCTTGTCGGCCTTGTCCGTCTGCAGTGCCACCTTGGTTAGTAGCTGTGTCGTGCAACGCTTGAACACACGCATGCCGTCGAGTCTTGTCGTTTGGCTATCTTGGCATCCCTTGTCCGCTTTTGCCTTGTTATATGCGCCGTTCAAAGCAACGTCAAAGAGGATCCCTTCGGGGATTCCATGAATGATGTTGAAGAGGCGGACGCTAGATTGAGTTCTGCTTTTTTGGAGGCGTGCGGCTTTTTGTGCCGACATTTCCCCCTGCTGGCAGACGATATTTCGTTCCTTTTCTCGCCTTTTCCGAGTGTGGCTGAGGCACGCGCTGCGTTGTCTTTATCATCTCTTGCACGTTGGTCTCACTCCACCTTGGCATTGCGCATGTCATCAGGCGATTATCGTCAAGCTCTGCAGATCATGAAGAACGTTGATCTGGATCGCCGTTTCATCTTCTCTCTCGTGCCGGCCTGCAACGTATCTCTCCACTATCATCTCGGTAAGATTTGTTTCGCCTTTGAATCTGTGCATACTTTTGCAGCTGTTAGACTGACTGCTTGCTCTTTTCTTGGCATAGGATTTTGCTATTTGATGTTGCGCCGTTATCAGGATGCCTTCCGTCTGTTCGAGTCGATTCTGATCCAAATGGCCAGCCACCGTGGACCTGGTCATTACGATGGAGGCCGCAAACGCGACACCATTGTCTGCCTCCTTGCTCTCGCCTACAGTCTGCTGCCCCAGCGCCTTGAGCGCTCGGTCGAGCATCTGATGAACGAGAAGGAGGGTGAGAACATTCGCAAGATTCAGTCTGGCGAGGGTGCCGATGAAGCCATCAACCATCTTCTGCTCCGTGGTGCTCCTCGATTCCTTTGCCCCTTTTTGGCGGACCCCCAACAACCTCCTGAGGAGGACGTGCTCAAGGCTGAGTCTGAGCGACAATTGGAACTGTTCAAGCAAGAGGCAAAGCAGTTGATCCTTTTGGGTCAAATCCGCAGCTACCTCAAGCTCTACACGCGCATGAAGCTCGAGAAGTTGGCCAAGTTCTTGGAACTGGTGCGTTTTATTGTGTTTGCATGCGTGTGTGAGCCTAGTTATTTTCGTTTCTGTTTTTGGTCGTTCTTGTTGAAGCGGTCCAATGATGCTTTCTATATTGGTACTACTTAAGCGCTCTAAGTGCTCTGTCGAGACTAATGATAAGGTTTTAATTGTCTGATGGACCTTCTATTATTTTTTTTCTCTTCTTCGTTGTGCATCTTCTTTTACCGACATGTCCATGTCTCATGTGCTTCTTCGTCTTGCACCCCCGCCTCTTATTTTTATTTCAGACGGTGCCGCAGCTGCGATCAATGTTGCACAGCTTCAAGCACAAGATGAGCCAGATTGTTCATACTCCTGGAGGCGAGCCGCTGGCCGGCGAACGTCAGTTCACGGACAGCGTTGACTTTTATGTTGATGGCGATGAGATCTGCATTGCCACCATGACTGTCAAGAAGAGCTACGGCGACGATTTCTTGACAGCTTCCCTGAAGATGGTTACGTCTAACCGATAAACGCTTCCTGTTGACGCTTGTCCAAGCGCATGTTCTTTTGAACCCTTCTTTCGTTTTCATGTGCCGTCCTTTGATGTTGCCTTGTTTTCTGTCCTTTCCCCATCCAGCCACCCCGAGAGGCCATGCCTCATTTTTTACTTTGGTTCACCTGCCCCCCTTTTTTATGCCTTTTTCTTTTTCTTTTTTTCTTTTTTTTTTTTTTTTTCCTTCGCTTGACTTTTTCCTTGGCATCGATGAGTGATATGTTTTCTGCGGTATGTGACTGACGGTGGCGGTCAACGGTGGCCTCGCCACGTCCACGTATGCTGTGATGCCAGCGTGTGCTCCTCCGCCCAACTTCCTTCTCCGCCTTTGTATGTTTATTGAACCCGACAACCAAATTGGAAAGATCAAACTGAACCGAACTGACTCCAACATGACACCAAGACAGAGAAGAGCCCTACTTAATGTTGAAACGTTTGATCAAGTGTTGTGCACTGTCCAATATGCTATGCGAGAGGGTTGAAGGTCAGCAGCCGAGAGTGATAAGCCCAACGACGGGACCTAACCGTATAGTAATAGAAAGCAACTGTGGTACCCACGACAGCCCGAACCAATCCTACGAGTGATGTCTCAGCCCCTTGCAATTGTTGAAATACACGTGTGTGTTGTCTTCAGTTCAGTGTGTGTCCCTTTCCCGGCTTGAATGTGACTTTGGTCTTCATAGAACTGGGCATGTCGACAAAGCGACCACGCGCTGAATTTGGGGGTTTTTGTTTTTGATTTGGAGTCAGTCGTATGCGATGAGCCGGGGCACAACACTCTCCAAACGGTCAACTAGATGGCAGCCATCAATTTTTACATGGAGGCACCACGACCGTACGAGCCTTTGAACTGGGGCTGGAAGCCAGGACCGGCACCACCAACCTTGCCCTCGTCTGAAGAAAGTAGCAAAAGCAAGGAAGAGTACGAGTGAGCTAGCGTGCAAAAAAACAGCGGCAGGGCGATGCATGTGATTGGATGGTGAAGGATGGGTATCAGTTGTCTTGTTCTCAGAGTAATTAAAGGTAGCTAGGGTTTTCAGCATGTGCCGACCCACTACAGGCCGACATAAAGCCAAATGCCTGAGTCATCAGTGAACAAGAATAAACGACAAAAGCACCACCAACAAATCGAAGACACAAGCAAGGCGGGATTTTGTTCTCAGAGAAATAAAAGGTAGCTAGAGTTTTCAGCATTTGCCGACCCACTACAGGCCGGCATAAAGCCAAATGCCTGAGTCATCAGGGAACAAAACTGGGTCGAGGCAGACCCAAACGCGCCTTGCCCGTGCCGGGGAGGAAAAAGAATCAGACACAAACACAACACAGGTCATCTTTGCTTGTTCTCAGAGATGTAAAAGGTAGCTAGAGTTTTCAGCATGTGCCGACCCACTACAGGCCGGCATAAAGCCAAATGCCTGAGTCATCAATGAACAAGAAAAAGAAGAAACACTTGGTGTTCGGGCGGGTTGGGGAACAAACACGGCCATAAAATAGCATGGACATGTCAAAGTCGTTGGCAGATTGCCACTCCACAAAGCAATCGTATCAACAAGTTGTGGAGCTGTTTGGTGTATCAAAAGTTGTGCGTGTGTGGAAGCTGGATCATTTGGAGAGCAGGCTTACCACGGCGGTAGGAATCCGCGGCACCACGGAAACCCGAGGCAGCAGGGCGAGCAGCCGCGCGACCGGGGCGAGCGGTGGGGCGAGCAGGCTGCTTGTGGGTGTTGGGCACAACCTCCGCGGGAAGGTGGAGGTAAGTGCGGAGGTACTCGAGACCCTCATCGGTCAGGTACCAGTAGTAGTGGCGCCACGCGAACTGCTCCTTGACATAGCCGCGAGAGTTGAGCGACTGGCAGGCCTTGATGACCTGGAGGTTGGGGATCTCGGCCAGCTCAGAGTGAGCGGGAGCGTTGAAATCCTTCTCAGCGATGAGGACACCCTCCTGGAAGAGGCGGGTGTAGATCGCCTTGCGGTTCGCCTTGGGAATCAGCATGGTGCCTGATGACATTTAAGGGAGCAAACAGAGGTGGTACAAGATCAGCAAGCATGCATCACGACAAGCCAGTGTCATCACCACCACCACCACCACCACCGGAGGAGAGTAGCCAACCCGACCACACCCAAATCAACAAGAAAACCACACGGACAACACGACGAACAACGCTGAGAGAGAACGGCCGGAAACTTCAAGGAGAGGTGGGGTATCAAGCATTGCGTCCCCAGGGGCATCTCGGTGGTTCATTGATCAACGATAACTGCCATAATGAGGCGAGGTGGTAGCGCTGCCGGTTACCGCCATGCCACGCCAATGTGTTCCAACCAGACCCGGCGAGCCGCATCGAAACGGGAGGCGTGGCATGTCGGGCGGCATGAGGCAGCCCTTGCCCAGGGCAGTCCCTTTCAAACCCATTCAAATAAATGACAGCTGTGTGTACGACCGCCCGCTTTGCCTCCGACACATGCATCCAACACCGACATCAAAAGGGCAGCGGTGCAGCGACAGTCCAGGGTCGCGACTGGCAGGATGGAACGGCTCACCGGTTTGCTGCGAATGGCGGCCAGAGGAAAAGGCTGTTCGCGCGTGTCAGGAACCGTATTGTTTTACGGGTGTTTTTCCCGCGTGGTTGATACAGCTGAACACGTTGACTGGTCGTGTGTTTCTTGACCCCGGTTCACACTTGGTAGCACCGGAGAGATGAGCCAGTCGTTTGCTGTCAAGCAAACCTTCCAAAAAGGATGACTAACATCTGGTAACCTCAGCTCCTGGTGTGCCAATTCATCTGACAATTCATCGTGTGTGTGTGTGTGTGTGTGTGTGTTGTGTGTGTCTGTCTCTCTCTTCACGTTGAGGCCGCNACAACACACACACACACAAACACAACACAACACAACACAACACAACACAACACAACACAACACAACACAACACAACACAACACAACACACGGACGGACGGACGGACGGACGGACGGACGGGCAAGGAGGCGGATCGGGGATCTCAGTTTTGGCAGCTGGACGATTTTGACGCGCCGCAAGGGGGAACGGGGCGGACGACGAGGTATGTCGATTTTGGCTTGGGGAGCGGGATGGAGGGCGAGGAAGAGGGAGCAAGGATAGGTGGAGGCGGTGATTCATGACGGCGTTGCGTGATCAAAGCAAAGTTGGGGGCGGGGCTCTTGAGGCGACGGCGGCAAAAGAATTCTTTCGCCGCCGCTGCACCCCTTGATGCGCCAGATGGCATCGCTGCCTAGCGACCCTGAATGAATCTGGCTAGCATGGGTTTGTGGGTCGTCCTCGATGAATGCACACCTCGGGCAAGCTGATCTCGAGCTGCTCGTGTGCCCCTTGTCTGCGCCACACAGGAGCGCAAAGGAACGAGTTCTAGCCGGGCCCATATCAACTTTCCCATTTCCTGGTGAGGCCGACCCGATTACTCAAGGTTGGAAGCCCCCAGAGGCAGTGTCATCAACGGTGCCAAACAGCTGGTCAGCCCCAGGGCACGCGCAGATACGATCTGGCGGTGGCTCAGACCCCGGCCTGCCCGCCACTTTGCCTTGTACGCTCGTCGCCTTTGGGCCCACAGCGTTCAGCGCCGTGTCACCTCGCTGCTTATTCCTACTCGATATTCCACGAGTGTGGTTGCTGTGTCCAGCACCATGGGTCTCAGCTCCACCAAGCTGCGAAACATCAAGAACGAAAACCCAATCACCATCTGGCAAATTACGGGCGACCTGGGTGCAGGTGCGCGCCCCCTCCTAGACCCTCCTGCTCGGCTCCAGTGCCCACTTGGGCCCAAACACCTCCCACTTGTTCATCGCCTTCCTAGCCCTGTGTCCCTCCTGTTCCTCATCTCTGCCATGTCATCCCCCATTTGCTCCGCACCCCCACCAGGCACATACGGCAAGGTTCACCTTGTGCGGCATCGACAAACAGGTCAAAAGGCGGCCGCCAAGATTGCTCAAATTGGTGCCAGCGCTCAGCTCAGTGATTTTTCCACCGAAGTTGACATTTTGACCAGCTGCCGCCATGATAACATCACAAACTTTATCGACGGCTACTTCAACAAACCTGACTTGTGGATTATCATTGAACTCTGTGATGGTGGATCCCTGGGCTCGCTCGTTGACAAGACAGAAGCCGGTTTTGATGAAGGCTACATTGCTCCCATCATGCACCAAATGCTCAAAGCCCTCGTCTTCCTGCACGCTCATTTTGTAATCCATCGCGACATCAATTGCGCCAATACCCTCATCACCCGCCACGGCACCGTCAAACTCGCCGACTTTGGCGTATCCGCCCTCGGCAAGAGCGAAGACCAGCGCCGGCACACCTTTGTCGGCTCTCCACATTGGATGGCTCCAGAAGTCGTGGCCTGTGAAAATGATAGCTCAAACGCCTACAACTCGCGCGCCGACATTTGGTCGTTGGGCATCACAGCTTTGGAGCTAGCCCAACGCCGCCCGCCGCATGCTGACCTCCACCCCATCAAGGTACTCGACAAATGACCCCGTCCGCCCGACACTAGTGGCCTTAGCCAAGCTGTCCACAACAATCGCTCATTTGTTGCAGACTCATTCCAAAGTTGCCTCTCCCCCTTGCGTCGTGCTATCCGGGTTTTTCAGGTGTTGTTCAAAATTCTCTCTGGACCTAGCCCGACCCTCGACGCCAGCCGTGGCTTTAGTAGTTCGTTTCACGATTTTGTCGCCTCGGCACTGGTGAAAAAGCCCACCGACCGCATCACTGGTACGCATTTGTGGTCATCAGTGCCGCCCCGCTTCCCCCCCCTTCTTGGGATTCCCGTCAAAGCTCACAATTACATCACCATTGTGCGATGGCTTTGATAGCTGGAGCTTTGAGCAAACACCCCTTTGTCAGCGAACAGGGCGACAAGGGCAAACTCAAGACGCTCGTCCAATCCTTGGTGTAGACCATGAGAAGTTGATACGGCCTTCTCCACAAGTAGGCTGCTGCGTCTTGTTTTGACTTGAGCAGACACCAGCCCACGTGCTGTCTGCCTTCTGTGGACCTCATTGGTCGGTATGCCACCTCTTTGCTGACACCGTGCATTTTGCACGAGGCACTTTGAATGTTCTTCTGTCGAGTCCTCCGCAGTTTAATTTTGGTTCATCTGGCTTGTTAGTGCCTTGTTTTGTTTGACTGTTGGTCACTCTTTTGACTGTTTCACTCGGCGCCCTGCGGGCGGCCAACTGGGCGCGCAAATGCATTTCGACTTTCCATTCGACTTGAAGTTGCTCCGTGTCCGAGCTTGGTAGAGTACAGCCCTGTTCCACACCCTTCAGGATATGTGGTTCAGTCTGTTGCTGTGTTTCCTTTCCACGAGTCCTGATGTTTGTTCATCTTTCTTTTGATAAAATGCCCCTGCTTCCGTTCTTTGGTCATGCGTCTTGTTATCTTCGGTTTTCGCTCATCACATGAGCTTCCTTGACCAACAAGAATTGAACAACTGATGCCAAACAGACTGGTCTTTCCTTTCTTCGGACCCCTAGATCAGGCATCGGAAATGACCAAGACTCGGTTGAAAGAGTGTTTCTCATAAATTTTTATTTTTTTTCACTTCTCGACGCGGGAAAGAGACGCCAGCCACAAGGTTTAGGAGTCAGGCCATAAGCTACAAGAGGCGGCAAGGTCCTGCCACGAGTCAATCCAGTTAAAGACTATTCGGCATCTCAGTTCGCGGGGGTTCGGACATCGTCAATCTTCAAGATCATCTTGACCAGCTGAGTGGCTAGGCTGATCTGCTGCTTCTTGCCAATCAGTGTTTCAAGAACGTGTTGCTGCTTCATGTCATTGGTGCCCTTGCTCAAGCAGTCAACACCCAGATATGCGTTGCCCTCCTTGACCTGACGGGCAATCACCTCGGAGACCGTGGCAATGGGAGGCAAGCCACTGTTCTCGGCCAGGGCCAGAGGAATGCTCTCAAGGGCATCGGCGAACGAACGCATGGCGTACTGCTCCAGCGACGACACCTGTAACGCAAAGGCAAATCGACAACAAAACGGTGAGGTCATTGCAACTTAAACGAGCAACGAGGACGAACGATAGCACTTGAACGCACCTTGTCAGCTTCGTTCTTAACGGCAATGGAGCAAGCGATTTCGGCGGCACCGCCACCATACACCACACGGTCGTCGCGGACGAGGTTGCGGACCACGCAAATAGCATCGTGAAGGCTACGCTTGGCCTCGTCAATGATCATCTTGTTACCACCACGCACAAAGATGGTCACGGCCTTTGAGTTTTGGCACTCTTCAATGACCATCATGTGTTCCTTGGTGGTGCCAAAGGCCAACTCGCGCACGAGGCCAGCCTTACCCAGCTTGTCAGCGGTGAGCTCGGAAAAGCGGGGCACGATGCGGCCGCCAGTGGCAATGGCCACGAGCTCAACCTCGGGGCCACCGACCCAGCGGACGGCGGGCAGCTCCTTCTGGAGGAGCAAATGGTTGGCTTCGTCATCAAAGCCCCACTGGCAGAGCACGAGGTTGGCACCCGTGTCCTTGACCTGTTGGACCATTTCGGCAAACTTCTCCTGCTCGTACTTGCGCAGCTCTTCGTAGGCCGCAACCGAGTTGATGTCCAGCTTGTGCGTGGTCTTGGGCTTAGGGGGCTCAAAGGGGCAGGTGAGGATGGCCACGCGGGCATCCTTGACCGTCTTGGGCATTTGCGGGTGGCTCATGGTCTTGTCCAGAACGACGCCGTGCACGAGCATAGTGTCCTCGAGCTTCGCACCTTCCTTGCCATCCATCTTGATGAGTTCAAAGTTGACGTCGCGCTTTTCGAGGTCGGCGACAGCAAGCACGGCATCGACAGCAATCTGAGCAAACTGGCGGTGACACCGGTTGACAATCTTTGAGCTGAGGGTGGTCATGGCAGTCTCCACGAGCGTTTCAGGGTTCTTGACATCGACGGGAAAGGTGTCGGCAATGGCATCCAAACGGTCCAGAGCAACCTTGGCAGCCATTTCATAACCATCGGCAACACGAATAGGGTGCAGGCCGCGGTCCAGGAGCTGCTCGGCCTGCTGCAGGAGAGCACCAGCCAACACCACGACGCCGGTTGTGCCATCACCAATCTCATCGTCCTGGGACTTGGACAGCTGTACCATCAACTTGGCAATCTCATGACTCACATCCTAACGTGACAGGATTGACCCAGTTGAGGGTTAGTGGCAGTCTCAACCAAGGAATGTGGTGCGAGGTTGGGTGGACAGAGTCAACTCACCATCTTGTCGAGGATGGTGGCACCATCGTTGGTGATGGTAATCTCGCCATCAGGGCTCACGAGAAGTTTGTCCAAGCCCTTGGGACCCAGGGAAGTGCGGAGCGTGTTGGCCACCGAGCGAGCGGCCAGAATGTGTGCCTAATCAAGTGAAGAAACGAAAAAAAAAAATCAGAATTGACCAGGTCACTAGAAAGAGACATGGCACACAGCAGCACAAATAGCACAACCCAAACGGCGCCCTAAAATGACGACATGCCACAGAATCGGGCGTCAAAGTTCTCTTCCCTTCCTCCTGGTTTTTTTTTCTTTTGTTCCTCAAAAAAAAAAAAAAAAAAAAAAGAAGAAGAAAAAAAAAAGCACGCCGACGCGCGCACAGCTCTAAAGCATGCTGAGCTGGGTGGGCCAACAAACCTTCTGCGCTTCGAGACCGGAGAGGCGAGCTTTCTGGTCTTGATCACGGATGATGAGGAAGGGGCGACCGTACTCGTCAAAGGTAACCTGACCGTTCTGAGCGCTGTCCATGGCGGCGGTGTGTGGACCTGCAAGGGTGTGTGACGGTGTTTTCTTCGGATCTGGGCCGAAATTGGCCAACCGCTCGGCAAACTGTGCCGCAACTAAGCAAGATGAGAAAGACGGGTTGGGTCAACGCTGAGCAAAAAGAGGTGCCTACGTGACGAGAACAGCATTCAAAAGCACCAGGCAGACACTGTGAGGTGGCGCCAGGGTATGGTCGATACCAGTGATAAACGATGAATTGACAAGCAACTGCCATATAACACCATATAACACACACACACACACACACACAAAAAAAAAAAAAAAAAAAAAAAAAAAAAAAAAGTGAAAATAGATGGAGAGAGCGAGGATAAGAAGAGTTGTGAACAGAGTAAGTTGTGTTGCCGAGCGCGATGACCTGGCCTCGCCAATTAAGCCCCTGTGTTGTCAACGAGGCAGACCCCGGAGGCACTGCACGCCACTCTCAGGCCCGACGAGCGACAACCTTTCACGGCTGAAAAAAAAAACGGTTGACAAGAAGACGATTCCCCAAACACACAAGAAAGCGGCAGGCGGTGATCACGAGGCCACCGCCGCCTGCAAACTGGAAGATGGATGGATGGACCGTACAAGTGCAGTCCCCTCTTTGCAACATAAACGGCAGCCAAGAGCGACAACAACAACAACAACAACGAGGAGGAGGAGGAACAAACGAGACGGCGCGCACTCACCCAGTCGGTCCAGAGAAACTAAAAAAAACGCCAAAAACCGAAAATCAGACGCACACAGCCATGAGAGAGAGAGGGTGAGAGCGAGCGTCCGTGTGAGAGAGGGGGTGGGAGTGAGGGAGATGTTGAGAGGAGGGTGTCGTTGTGGGATTTCTGGGTGTGAGATGGAAGGGAAAATACAAGGAAGGTCAGAGAAGATGCGGGGCAGCCATCACTCACCCAGAGAAAATGAGTATCCAGCAGCAAGCACCAGAGCGTGTGGGGAGCAACAGCAAAGGTGTGAGAACAAAAGAAAAGAGCGATCTTTTGTCTGACGGCACAGAGAGAGAGAGAGAGAGAAGCTGCACCCGCGTGGTGTTAGACTTTACTACTACATGTACATGTGAGACACACATTTACACTTTTACACAGAGAGAGAGGGTGCGGTTGCTACGCTGTTGTTGTCAAGGCTCTGTATTGTTTCACCACCAAAAGAGGAAGTAAAATAATAGCCAGGTTGCTGGACACTTTATCCCTCTAGTTTTGACTTTGATCCTCTAAAGTAGCCTGACCGCACAAACGTAGCGCCGTTTTGCTCACAAGCAACACACACGTGCCCCCTCTAGCCAACGTCAAATGTCAGCATTTTCGACGGACACGCGTTCGTTGTCTCTCTCACACACACACGCGCTCTCTCTCTCTCATTTCGCGCACATCGCGCTCTCTCTCTCTCTCTCTCTCTCGCTCTCTGACGCGCGCGCGCGCTTTTCCTGCTCTCTGCTCTCTGCTCTCTGCTCTCTGCTCTGAGAGGCCGAGCCATTTGGGGGCAAGATGGCGCCTAAAGGTGCAAAGGCGATGGGCCAGCAGCGCAAAAAGGCTGCCGGTGGCAAGATGGCGACCCCCAAGCGTGGTAGGTTCTGGCATCCCCGCTTTCATGTCTTTCAAAGTCAATGCCGAGACCACCTGCAGCCCTCCCCTCCCCGCGAATCAGCTCAACAAATCTAAACTCCTTTCATCGCAATTGGCAGGGCATGCGAGCAAGAGTGACCGCGAGGGCCCCGAGCAACCCGAGCAAGCCGTCAGCCGCCGGCAGGAAAAGACCGAGCACGCGACTTCACCCGAACAGGCCAAGCGCGCTAAAGTGGACCCGGAAGCCGCCGTTTCGGCCCTCGAAGCGTTGCATCCAGACGCTCTGCCCGACTACGAGAAGGGCGCAGACCATGTCAAGTTCTCAGCCTTTCAGCACCTGCTTTCAGAAAATACCATGAAGGCCATTGATGTACGCTCGCACCGACCTGGCCGGGCCTCCCTGGCTCCCTGGTCTTTATTTTCTGCCGCGTTTGAGCCATGACCATGGATCCATCCAACAAACTCTGGCCGCATGGGCTCCCATCGCATGCCTCACCTCCCTTTTGTGCTCACGACATTGACAGGAAATGGGCTTTACACACATGATGGAAATTCAGTACAAAACATTGCCCCTCCTCCTGCAAAAGCGCGACTTGCTCGGTGCCGCCAAGACAGGCTCGGGCAAGACCATGGCCTTCCTGCTGCCCGCCGTCGAGCTCATGCAGACGCTCAAGTTTACCCCCCGCAACGGCACCGGCATTATCATCATCAGCCCCACCCGTGAGCTTTCATTGCAAACATACGGTGTCGTTCAGGACCTCCTTCGCTACCATCCCCAAACACATGGCCTTGTCATGGGTGGTGCCAACCGCCGAGTAAGTCCAAATTACAAACCAGCACTGTGCTTACTGCTCAAAACGACGTTTTCTCTCTCTGTCTCTCTCTCTCTGTCCCATCTGGCTTGTCTATCCTCCACGTGAGCCATCTGCTCCCCTTTCCTTACCCAATGCCCGCCTCGCGTGCTTGCACAGGCTGAAGCCGATCGCTTGGTCAAGGGCGTCAACGTACTGGTCGCTACCCCCGGTCGACTGCTCGATCACCTGCAGAACACGCAAGGTTTCCTCTACAAGAACCTGCAATGCTTGATCATTGACGAGGCTGATCGCATCCTGCAAGTCGGTTTCGAGGAAGAGATGCGCCAAATCATCAAGCTGCTCCCCAGTACGTTCTAAGCACCTCGTGCTCAGCCTACGCTGATTGATCTGATGTAACAAATAATAAAGAGAGAGCGCGCGCGCGTGCGCAAAGGTACGAGCCACGTCTCCACGGCTCATCTTTGCCTTTGGATGTCCGCAGAGAAGCGCCAGACCCTTTTGTTCTCGGCCACACAGACGCGGAAGGTCGAAGACTTGGCTCGCATCAGTCTCAAGGGCGAGCCCCTCTACGTTGGTGTCAACGACCAAGACGAAGAGGCGACAGCTGACAACATTGAACAGGGCTACATTGTGAGTCCTTGCAATGTCGTAACCCTTCACGTCAGATTCTTCAAGCGTGCTGTCGTTTTTGCCTTGCTCATATCACTTCGACTCTGCCGTGCTTCTCAATAGATTTGCCCCGCAGACAAGCGCTTCTTGCTTCTCTTCACATTTTTGAAGCGCAACCTGAAGAAGAAGGTCATGGTCTTTCTCAGCTCTTGCAACAGTGTAAAATTCCATGCCGAGCTGCTCAACTACATTGACATCCCCGTCCTGGACATTCATGTAAGCTCAGCAACATTCGCCGTGGTTGACCCCGTCTTTATTTTATCCCACCTTGTCCATACCTTTTGCTATGTCCTTCCTTTTTTTTTGTGGTGCACTCGGTGTTGGAGAGCCTCGCCTTTTTTTCACTTCCCAATTTGATGATGGTCACAGGGCAAGCAAAAGCAAGGAAAGCGCACGACCACTTTCTTCGAGTTTTGCAACGCAGAGCATGGCATTCTTCTGTGTACCGATGTCGCTGCGCGTGGCTTGGATATTTCCAATGTGGATTGGATCGTGCAGTATGATCCCCCGGATGATCCTCGCGTACGTCCGCTTCCGTCTCTGCCAATTACCTGTCCGCAAGGGCGTCTTTTCTTGGGCTGGCATCAATCAAGACATCACTGATTGCTCCTGGGGTTTGCGCTTCCCACAACAGGATTACATCCATCGCGTCGGTCGTACGGCTCGTGGCACAGACAAATCGGGCAAGGCGCTTCTTTTCCTCCTTCCCGAGGAAGTCGCGTTTCTCAAATACTTGAAGCAGGCCAAGGTGCGCCCAAAAGAGTACGAGTTCCCAGCGGCCAAGATCAGCAATGTACAGATGCAGGTGAGCCCCATGTCGCAGTGGGCCTTTCGGGTCGAAGTGCACCCAAAGCTTGGTACACCAATGCCTGCAATTGTTTTCCACTTATCTGATACTTATTTTTTTTTTCCCAGCTTGAAAAGCTGATTCAGGAGAATTACTATTTGCACAAGTCTGCCAAGGAAGGCTATCGCTCCTACTTGCAGGCCTATGCTTCGCATTCACTCAAGCAGGTGTGACTCGATCCATGGCTGCATCAGGGTGAGCAGGCACGCCAACACTCATTCTTTTTTGTGCAGATTTTTGATGTCAACACTTTGGACCTCAGTCGTGTCGGCAAGGCCTTTGGTTTTTCCGTGCCTCCCAACGTCAACCTGAGTAAGTGGACGTTGCTGGCAGACAAACGTTCTCGAGTCAATTTTGCTTTGGCTAAGCTTTGGCTAAACATGACCAGCAGCACGCCCGCGCGTTGCTGGCTGCAAGCACACACACACACCCACACATATACCCGATTCACGACTTACACTGTCCGTTTATCAGTTCTCATTATTATTCTTTGCTTTTGTTCTTTTTTTGGCAATCTGCCTTTTGTAAATCTGATCCAACCGCGTTTGTAGATGTGCATGCCAGCAAGGGCAAGGTTCAGAAGCGTGGTGGTGGCGGCGGTTTTGGTGAGGGCTACCAAGTGGACGACAAAACTCGTGCCTTCCGCAGGCAGTTTATGAAGAAGAAGTCTGGCTCTCAGGTGGCAAGGTGATGATGGCCGCCTGATCGGTTGTCGACGAGTGCACCCAGTGATGCGTGCTCGAGTTGTGGTGAAGTCTGTTCCGAAAAACTCAAAATTGAGCCTCGACCCTCCATGTCCTCTGTCGCGCTGTTGTGCTGAGATTCCGATGCTCTTGCGGTTGGGACACCTCCCTGATTGGATGGTTCCGGCGCCTAATCCCAACGTAAAGCGGAAAGAGAGGCGGGCGTGTGTGGGCAGACCATAAGACGATATATACACTCCAGTGGAACTCAGTGGAGCTTCAACTTCGACGGCCACTGTACCTCATGGATCGTGAAAGGCGCTGCAGGTGCCGGGGCGATCTCTCGGCCATCTGTGTCGCATCACCATCCAACAAAGTTACAGCACCTTTGCGGCAGAGTTGGTAGCAGTCAACCAAGCATTACGCTAAACGTACCGTACACAACGCGCTCAGGCACAACTTGATGAAAGTATGTCAGCCATCGCGCGGCTTCGAGGGCCGTGGATAGCCATATATGATGGTCATGCGCATGATCTTTGACGTTGATCACGAGATGAGTCGCCTCGCTGTGTGGCATGTCTGGTTGTTCATGGTCAGGGTCCGGCTATCGTTGGAGATGAAGCGACAGGTCACCCATCGGAGATGAGAATAGGTCAGTTTTCAAACACTCCTTAAACATTCCTAGAGAGGGCGGGAGCGAAGCTTACTTGGTCCACCAGGTTATTGTCAGGAGATTGTGCAGCATGAATGCTGCTTGCTATTACCGGCACCTCGCCGACATATGGCAAGCTGGCCTCGGCCGTGAGACCGCCGCAGGAGCAGCACAAGAGCAAGGGCATATGCATGGAACAGGTAAAACCGATGGAGAAAAGGCATGGCATTGTGTGGCTTAAACTTGTCGCGCGTACCTTTGATCTCCTTTGAAAGCGGCTTTGTATAACAGGATGCGACCTAGTTTTGGCTCAGCGATGGCAAGCACGAGGCGCTGGCGTCGACTAAAAGGCCCTTGATACATGGCGTAATCTCTCAGTTCAACGTTGACGTCGTTGGCGTTTTGGGTGTTGGCCTGCTCGGGCATGTGTTTGGCAGGCAGATTGGCAGTAGACCGTATGACTTGATCTGGGAGTGACGGCGACCGCAGAAATGACAGGACTGGTGGGGAGCTGTGGGCCACAAAAGCGCAATATGTGATGAATATGGAGCTCAAGAGTCTCAACTCTAGTGTCAGCGACAGGAAATGGGGGCATCCTTGACGTACTGAGCCACATTTGGGATGCGCAGGAGACCATTCAGATAGAGTTCAAGTGCTGGTCTGCGGCGCGTCGCAAGATCCTCGGCAGCTACGCAGGCGCAATGCACCAAGTGTGAGAGCACTCGTGACCAACTCTCGATTCAGCATCCGTTGATCCAAGAGGGATGAAAGGTGTGCAAGACCCGTCCGATTGTGCTCTACAACGACGGCAGCATCTCATGCCGGATTCGAATCACAGGCTCACCTCGTCTCCGGGCTGACTTAGACGCCTTGAAGCTCAGGAGGCGCTTGCCTGGCAGAGGAGGCAAGATGCTATTGTTGTTGTGGGGGATTCCAGGTGTGATTCAAGGATGACAGGCATCAGGGACCAATCTGAGGAATGGCTCGTCGGGCGCTGCGATCTGGTGTCCGGGCTCACAGGCATGAGCAGGCCGTACCGTGGATGGGTACCTCGACCTGCTTCGATCGGGAATTCATCGAGCAAGCGGCAATGCAGCTCAAAAAAGTCGTCGTACGTTTGCTGCACAGAGCCAACGACAGCTACATCGCGTTATAATAAAGGCCCGAAATGAGTGTCAAACAATCAGGGCATAATTGGGGCTGCGGCATGTTTCGGACCCAGCCACGGGCGCTGGCGAAGTGTGAGCAACCTTGATTTTGATTGCTGCAGACAATCTCAAAGTAGATGTGTTCACCCATCCAGCGGAAAGAGGGCACGCTACAACGAGCGGGAGGCATTGGAAGTGGCATCTACGAACACATTCCTACAGCGTCAGGGAGCACGGCGGCTTGTTTCCTCAGCCCAGCCGGCAGGCCGAGCTAGCCATCCATGACCAGCAGAACGACTCCAAACACACACACACACACACACACACACACACGTAGATGCTCACCTTCAGGCGTTTCCGACATCCAAAGGGGAGAGGTAGAGTGGGAGCCGTAGCCCCCTGATACCCACCAAAAGTGAAAGCAAATGCTTCATCGAGATTGCCATTCCCCGTCCCCGCCCTCGACCTGCTCGCTTCCAAGACCGACAACACTCTGCCCTCCACTTCACAGAAATTCAGCCAAATAGTCTGTTGTGCGTATCTCTCTCAAAGCTCTCTCTCTCAAAATCTCTCTCTCTCTGTAAATCTCAAAATTCCCTCTGAAAAAAAGTCTAACTCTCTCTAACCCTTTCTCCCTCTCTCACACACACACACTCACTCTCTCTCACTCACTCTCTCTCACTCACTCTCTCTCACTCTCTCACTCTCTCTCACTCACTCACTCTCTCTCTCTCTCTCACACTTTCTCTCTCTCGCTCTCTCTCTTCCTCACTCTCGTCCGCGGCTGTCCTCATGGCGCTGGGCTGCGGTGAGGGCAATGATTCGCATCCGCCTTGAGCTTTGAAGGCCACGGCAGCGGCATCTCACTTTCTAGATAGAGCTCTTTCTTGGTGACAACATCTCCAAGCATCGTTATCATCAGCAGCAGCATCATGTCCGGTCGGCAGCGACAGTCCTCGACGATGTCGCGCAAAAAGGTCGATGTGAGCTTCACCGGGATCCGAGAACCCAAGTTTCTGCAAAAGCTCAGGTCTGCCTGTGACCCCCTACTCTTGCTGCTTGATGCGTACAACTTGAACATGCTCAGCATTGATGCCCGCCGGCAGAGCGACACATGGCCTCAAGCCTCGCGAGGAGCAGCAGGAAGAAGACATTCAAGCCAAGTTTGCCAAGCTGCCCAAAGCCACGGATGATGACGATTCCTTCCACGTCAAGGTGGAGGATGAGCCTCAGGTGCAACGCCCGCTCCATCGCCGTGCTTTTGGCGGGCCCCGTCCATTGTGACAATAAGCAAGCTCAATACTGACTCGGGGCGCCTGGGCCATATTCTTGATACATCCACTTTGCTGCTGTTCATGCCTTGTGTATGATAGGTGGTCGTGCTCAAAGATGGAGATCTGACCATGCAAGAGGCAAAAGCAGCCGTCGCCAGCGGTGCTAGTACGTGGCACTGCCAACTTGTGTGGTCCTTCCATCCTTTCACACACCTTCCCCCCGTCTACCTTGTGCGTCTCTAACGGCCTTGTTTCATGCGTTTGTGCTTTTTTAACAGAGGGAACTGAAGCAGTTCTTGCAGCTCACGATCAACCCAAGTTTGCAAAAAAGAAACGAGACAAGACCCACAAGGAAGTGAAGGATGGATCGAAGCGTAGCAAGAGTCTGAACAAGAAAAACGCAAGCACTCTGTCCTTCCAGGATGATGACGAGGAAGACTGATCGAATAACCAGAGAGTTGAAGACACAAATCGACTCATGAATCCTAGCTGAATCTCGTAATTCGCAAAAGTCACCTGCACCGACTCTCATCAACATTCGAGAGAAGATGAGCTGTGTAAGGAATCACATCTTTTCGAGCCTCGACGAAAGGCAACATAGCGGGCAAGACGATTATGCCAGGACGCCGTTTGTAATGGATATGCAGCGTAGCTGTTAGAGCTATTCAACACGACGACGGGTAGAGACAAGTATGAGGTTATGAATGAGACAGAGGCAGCGGCAAAGACGAAGACAGAGAGGGAGTATGAAATGGTTGATACGAAAGGACAGTATATGAGAGCATCTATTGGGACGTATGTGCGCATCGGCCATGTCAAGGAGGGGTTTTTGATCCTGCGTCTCTTGGCATGGCTGCAGGCCAGTCCAGAGCTGGCCGTCGGAGTCAAGGACGGCATTTCAGCAGCAGTTGGCATGGCCTTTGGTGAGCTTCAAGCCTGTGAGTCTACCCCGGGCTGGACCATGCTCTCCCTCGATTTCAAGAGTGCCTTCAACTACACCGACCGAGCACGGCTGCACGAGATTGTGGCCGACAAGGTCCCTGGCTCTTGCGCGCCTTTGAACGACACTATGCTCGACCCACTACCCACTGCATTGTCGACAAGTTCTTCAAGGTCATTGACATTGATGTTGGCCAAGGCATTGTGCAGGGCAACGAGCTATCGCCCTTCTTCTTTGCCCTGTACTCCTGTGAGGTCCTCGGTCTCCTCGACGCCACCACTGACTATCGCTGCAAGGTCATCAAGTACCTCGACGACATTGTACTGATGGGTCCCGCGGAGGACGTGGCGGCCGACGTCGAGATTGTCAAGGCTCGTGCAGAGTCTGCTGGCCTTCATTTGCAGCCCAGTAAGAGCCGCTTCTACATGCCTCGCCACCATTCGGCTTCCATCACTGCTATCAAGTCTGTCTTGCCAGATGCCGTGCGCGAGACGGCCAACACGGGCATGACGGTCATGGGAACGCCGATTGGCCGTCGCGAGTGTATGAAGAAGCAGCTGAACGACAAGGCGAAGCACATTGCTGGCAAGCTCAATGACATGCTGACGACCGGTGTCTCGCTTCAGGCCCTCCTCACGGCCATGCAGTACGTGCCTAGCCTCATCAACCACCTCTACACGCTGCCCCCAAGTCTGACGTCGGGCTTGTCCGAGCTCTTGAACCGTGCTTGCAAGGAGACCTTTGTCAAAGCCTTTTTTGCCAAGGTAAACCTGTCTGCACCAGCCGGAGCTGAAGGTCATGACGTTACGCTGGAACAGCTCCTGGAGGCTCGCATCTTCACGCGGGCCAACACCGGGGGCTTTGGCCTGCACGACCTGGTTGAGCGCGGTCCGGTGGCTTATGTCTGCAACATGGCCAAGCTGGCCACTCGCTACCCTCGGGTCTACGATCGACTTTTGGAGGATGCATCGAGGGCTGCCGACTTTGAGGTCCATGTGCAGCGAGCTGGCTTCCAGATGGCCACGGTCAAGGACGCGGCGACTCAGCGACCAGCTGAGATCATTGCCCTTCGTTCCAAGGCGGCACTGGACGACCTGATGGCCAAGTGTGCACTGGACCTGCAGCAGGCATATCTGGCCTCACGCGAATGGGGCGTCAGCACTGTCTTGGTGTGTGAACATGTTCACACACTCTTGACCATGCGGGGTCGGGACAAGTTGCGTCGCTTGAGCGACACGACCTTTGCCATTGCGGTCGTGTCCATGATGGGTTTTGGCCTCCATGAACTCATCAACGTCAAGCCGACGGACAAGTGCCCGCTCTGCAGCAGCAAGACACCTCAGCCGCGACTGACCCGCGAGCACCTGCTAACCTGCCGTCCCATCAAGCGTCACAACGCCCTTCGCGACGAGATGGGCCGCCTGCTCAGGTACGCCACCCTCTCCCATGTCTGGGTGGAAAAGTCTGGCTACAACGCCAACGGCCAGAGCTGCCGCATCGACCTGCACTGCCGCAACCCTTTTCCCGGCGGTGCTCTGGGCCCAGCTCTGCCCGACCTGGGCATTGACGTGACTGTGCGCACAGCCCAACCCCCGACCACCTCGCAAGCCTGCATCAAGGTGGGCGCTGCCCTTCGCCGAGCCGAAAAGGAGAAGCGCGACTACTACACCGGTTTCAACCATGGAAAAACTCTGATCGTCCCTGCGGCGATGACGACAACCGGTGGGTTCGCCTCCTCCTTTGTGGATCTGCTTGGTCAGCTCGCCCGCTGCGCCGAGGCCCGTGGTGTGTACCAGCCGGGGCTGGATGAGGCCTTTGTTCCTCGGTGGAAAGGTCGCTTTGCGGCGCTGGTCCATCAGATGAACGCTGACCACATCCAGCGCCACTTTGGCGGTGCCTGCCTGCGCTCGTCGTAGGTAGGCACCGTCTCGGGGGTCCCTCTGTGGGGATCCCTGTGTGCACCTGTTTTAATTTTTGCTGTATTTTGTGGTATTCTGCTGAATTTTTGTAAGGTCCTTTGTATGATGTCTTTGTCTTCTGTGGTCGGTTGTTTTCTCAATCCGACGTTGTGTCTCGTTGGATGTGAGCGTGCCGTGGTGTTCATTGTGTTTGTGCTGTGATGGCTTATACTTGTGATGTGTGACTGCCCTTCTGGGTGTCTTGTGTTTGAAATGGCCTTATCTCTGGTTATACTTGGTCGTTTTGTACGATTTTTGTTTCTATGTGCGTGATTCTTCGCGCTTGTACTTCTTGGCATGATAAAAGCCAGCGAATGTAACTTGTTCTCTTGTGTTGTTTTGCGTGCCGTTGTGATTTTGATGTCGGGGTTGCACAGCTTTGCTTTCAGCTCTGAGGTTCAAACACCTAATTTATTTATTATTATCAGGCTCGACCACATCAGACCCGAGCATTTTAGGCCCGAACGTATCAGACTCGAGTAGAGCAAGACCAAACGGATCAGGTTCGAACAGGTTAGGCGCGAGAAGAGAAGGTCCGAGCGGACCAGGCCCGTGCAGATCAGGCCCGAGCACAACATATCGGAGCACACCAGACCCGAGCAGATTAGGCCCGAACAGACCAGGCCCGAACGGATCAGTCCCGAACAGATCAAGCTCGAGCAGATCAGGCCCAAACAGATCAAGTTCGAGTAGAGCAGGACCAAACAGATCAGGCTCGAACAGATCAGGTTCGAGAAGATCAGGTCCGAGCAGATCAGGCTCGTGCAAAGCAGGACCTAACGCAGCAGGCCCGAACGGATCAGGCCCGAACCGATCAGGTTCGAGCAGATCAGGCCCAAACAGATCAGGTCCGAGTAGAGCAGGCCCAAACAGATCAGGCTCGAACAGATCAGGTTCGAGCAGATCAGGTCCGAGCAGATCAGGCTCGTGCAAAGCAGGCCCTAACGCAGCAGGCCCGAACGGATCAGGCCCGAACCGATCAAGTTCGAGCAGATCAGGCCCAAACAGATCAAGTCCGAGTAGAGCAGGACCAAACAGATCAGGCTCGAACAGATCAGGTTCGAGAAGATCAGGTCGAAGATCAGCGAGCAGATCAGGCTCGTGCAAAGCAGGACCTAACGTAGCAGGCCCGAACGGATCAGGCCCGAACCGATCAGGTTCGAGCAGATCAGGCCCAAACAGATCAAGTCCGAGTAGAGCAGGACCAAACAGATCAGGCTCGAACAGATCAGGTTCGAGAAGATCAGGTCCGAGCAGATCAGGCTCGTGCAAAGCAGGACCTAACGCAGCAGGCCCGAACGGATCAGGCCCGAACCGATCAGGTTCGAGCAGATCAGGCCCAAACAGATCAAGTCCGAGTAGAGCAGGACCAAACAGATCAGGCTCGAACAGATCAGGTTCGAGAAGATCAGGTCCGAGCAGATCAGGCTCGTGCAAAGCAGGACCTAACGTAGCAGGCCCGAACGGATCAGGCCCGAACCGATCAGGTTCGAGCAGATCAGGCCCAAACAGATCAAGTTCGAGTAGAGCAGGACCAAACAGATCAGGCTCGAACAGATCAGGTTCGAGAAGATTATAAAGGTGTATGTCCAGTACAGTGTTATGTGTGTGGACAAGGCGATTGTCACAGAGGTATCCAACCAATCGAAGTGCATACGAGAACATGGATTGAAGCAAGGCGAAGGAACAAGACAGAACAAGACAGAAGGAGGGAAGTGGAACGACCGAGGTCAAGAAGGAAAATGGTACCGATCCAGGGAGATCGCTCCCATTTATAGCAGGTGGAAACACACACACACACAGTGGAGACAGAGAATGGACTATCACACTGAAGACAGGTGGAAGCGATATCAGCAATCTGTTGGGACCAACAGATGCCACAACAAGATGATACAGCAAGATGGTACAGCAAGATGTTACACAACAAGGTGGGACAACATCAAGTACCAGAGGACACACAACGTGGTAAAGTATACCGTCTCAGATTGTGCCTCTAATACTCCCCTTCAAGCTGAGAACGGAAGAGCATGTCACACAAACGACGATGGCTCGGTCCATTGAGCAGCTTGGTGAGAAGGTCAGCAACCATGTCCTTGGTCCCGCAGAACCGGACATCGAGCTGGTTGCGTTCATACCTCTCTTGCACAAAGCGATACTTGACAGCAATGTGCTTGG